TAAATATTCACTATAGTTCGAGAATTATATATGTTGAGATAAAACGTAAGAATATTTTCACGGATAAAATTACATCCCATAGATATCGTGCCTCCCATGAAGACAAACAGGGGGGCTTAAACATATCCCTGAGTCCAAACCTCTTTTTTTTTTTTTTTTACATATAACGGGGAAGATTTTGCTATGCAATCTCAATATTGTTCAAAAAATCTTTTTTTTTTTTTTTACATACAACGGGGAAGATTTTGCTATGCAATCTCAATATTGTTCAGTACCTGAAAATGTTAAAAAAAAATTTCGACTCTAGACAAAATAATTAATAAAATAATGCCACGCTAGAGGTTGATACAACTTTAAATTAATTGATATTTTCAAAACTAATTGAGAGGGGAAATCATTATCCTCTCGTGCTAAAGTATTGTTCATTGCAACAATATTTTTTTCTTTTCTTTAAAAGTCCCATCTGCTAGTATTATATTTGTAATGGACCGTGATTTTCTTGACTTGTCATGGAGTTTTTCTTGAAGAAAAGGAAAAACCCTTGCATGTTGTCCCTATTAATGGAGTGACTGGTTAAAATAGCACAAACACGTAGGGGCTGAATTGCAAGCATTTTTATTGATTGCGATACAACTAAAAATGCAACCAATTTTAAAAACATGCTGCTTCTCAAAATGTTTCTTTAACTATAGTATTTTGTGATTTTTTCTAACTATGATATTAAAAAAAAAAAGGAATAAAACTCTTGTTTCCATATAAAAAGCAAGTTTACTTGGCGCATTGGGTGAGGTAGCTAGAGAATAGGACGAGATAGGGTTGGCCTTGTGGCTCCAGATCGTGTTCAAATCCCCAAGGATGTCTGGTCAGTACAGCATGTCCATTTCCTTCAGCACGTTCTCTTAGCTTCGGGTTCTCTGCGAGAGATCAAAGCAAGATAAAGAGAGATGATTTTGAAGTGATATTTGATTTGACATAGTTGCTAGGGTTGCCGGTGGATTAGGTGGTGGTGTAGCAGCAAGACTAGACTCCATAGTTGTTTGATATTAAAAAAAAAAAAAACTTAATTGATGATTTTTGTATTTTAGTTGTAAGGACACCTGTACATGTAGAATACAAGATTCTTCGCTATCTAGTTTTCTTGATTAAACGCTGCGGACATGTTGAGAATATATTTAGCATGGAGTGTTATATCTTTTATGTGATATATATATCATGAGAAACCTAATAATATGAATATATCTCGTACTAAAAAAAAATAATATGATAACTGTGTAATATATTGAGAAACCTAATAATATGAATATATCTCGTAGTAAAAAAAATAATACGGAACTGTGTATTATATTAAGTGTTTTTCTTAGTCGTGGTTTTAAAAAATAAGTTCAATAAAAATTTATAAATTTGGTGTTTTTTTAACTAAAACTTAAAGAGAGAGTCTTCAGCTGTGCTAATATTTTTTTTAAAAAAAACTTGTTGATTCACTAATATTATTAGAGTAAAACACAAACCATACCACAAAAACAAATAAAACCTGAGGCTGATACAAGCTTGTTCGCACCTATCTTCTGCGAACAAGATCTTCTGCATGACGATTCCATTTTTCATGTTTATAGTTTGTGTGAGAATGGTGATAAAACACAATTTCTCAGATAGGTAATTAATATGAGTGAAACAGGTCACGTCACCCAACGACCCCATGAGTGTAGTTTTCTTGTCGACGAATTACTTCTAAGCTTGGATCCACAGGAACGTACGTTCAGTGAATTGTTCGATGTTGTGGCGGAAGTAGCAAGATTTGAAAACATTTTTCCTGTCGAAGCTATGTGCCAGCAACAAGGCATACTGCTTGTCATAATCTATGTATGAAGTTGAAGATGGAATTGCAGATTTTATAAATCCAATTTTCAAAAATTCAGTCAATACAAACCATACTGAAACCGTATTTTAAAAAAAATAATTTTTTTGTTTAAAATTAATTATTTTTTATTTTAAAATTGCTTTAATATGGTAATGTTAAAAATAATTTTAAAAATAAAATTATTATTATTTTAATATTTTTTAAAATAAAAAATGCTATAAAATATTATCCTGGTTTTTATAGTAAAAGCATGCGGTTTGAGAGGCGCTGGCTCGGACTGACTGAAATTAATTTGTTGTTGACCTAAAAAGCGCAAAATTGAAGGCTGACACATGATAAATTAAAGCCCATAAAAATTCATAGTAAATTCCATATAATAAGAAAAAATGTCAACATCATTATTATCCTCACAAAACAGCTCGTCAACATTCATAAATTCAGAGAAATGATTCAACAGTTTGAAGCTCCCGAGTATGCTTTCATAACTGCAACAACAGCCCCTCCAATGAATCTCCTTACAGAGTCCCTGGACTTCAGCGCAGCCTCCTCCCTTTCTTTCTTTTGTATCATTATTAAAATATAATTTAATTAGTAATATTTTATATTTATTTTTTAACAATTACAAGTTTGAATTTTTTATAATCATTATAAATTTAATGATAAATTAAAGCCCATAAAAATTCATAGGAAATTCCATATAATAAGCAAAAATGTCAACATCATCATTATCCTCACAAAACAGCTCGTCAAACATTCATAAATTCAGAGAAATAATTCAACAGTTTGAAGCTCCCAAGTATGCTTTCATAACTGCAACAAGGGTCCCTGGACTTCCGCGCAGCTTCCTCCCTTTCTTTCTCTTGTATCATTATTAAAATATAATTTTATTAATTATATTTTAAATTTATTTTTTAATAATTACAAGTTTAAATTTTTATAATCATTATAAATTTTTATAATTATTAATTTTAAGATGTATAAAATAAGTTAAAATATATACAAATTTTTAAAAAAAAAAGAGAGAGAAGAAGATGCCCATAATCCTTAAGAACAAAGTAACTAGTCGCCCGGTCCTTTACTTTCTCTATAGAAATCCTCATGGATTACACCCTTAGGCGCACCAGGAGGGAAACAAAGGGTTCCTCTTCAGCTCACCAAGCCAGAACCTATGACCCTAACTGCCATGCCAAGATCAAACGAACGAGGAGCATATGCGAGTACTGGCGGTGGGGTTTGTATCCCTTTATCCTTTCCATTAACTGGGTCTGCTTTGTCAAGTGCTAACGCAAAAGCTGTCTTCCCACCTCGACTATGGCCTACATGGCCTAGCCTGCTTAAAATCTGGTTTGCTATAGACAATTTGTGGTTGCAGCCACAAGATATAACTGTCAAGTATAGAGAAGAAAGATGCAATGAGCAACCAAGTAGTTTTTGTTTTTCTGGGATCATTGGGGCAGCATCAATTTTGCCTTCTAATAAATTTTTTTCTCGGATCATTGGGTTCAAATTTCTTACCATAAACATCCCCGCGAAACAACGTAGTTTCTTACAATAAGTATAATTTGATGGAATTCATAATAAAATATGTATAAAAATACTTAATTGAACATTTCTTAAAATCAAGGACAATAAAATACAAAAAAAATATATAGAGTCAAAACTAAGAATTTCTATTTTATTAAAGGACTAATTTAATCTAAAAAAATATAAATTGATCAATAAGATTTTAATACTATATTAAAAAATCATCTTAACCTAAAAAATTAAATTATAAAAAAATCTTAAAAATATTTTTATACGAACGCATATTAAAATGAATTCTCAGAATACTGCAAAGAAAAACTAAAAACTTTTTGAAGAGTGGCTATGGAGGTGTAACTGGAAGTAGAGGTGAAGTATTTGCGACACTGCATGTAGTTCTTGATTCTACTTTTCGAACCTCTGTTGTGCACTTCCCAGCCTCAAACACATTGGCAGTAACAGTTGCAAGAACTGAAGAGGAAGACATGGCTGCTGTTTTAGGCCACCTTTCTCTCTGAACCTTTTGCATGTAGTCTCGGGTGTCAAGGGAGAAGCTGTTTGTGTGGGCCTTCTTATGGCCTTCGTTCGATGAGAACTGAGAAAAGAGTCCTGTCTGTCACCTGCTAGTGCTAGTGGACACTCCACTTGCTGGTTGAGTCTTTTTATCAGTGGGCTTAAGGCCCTTCTAGGTTTTTCTGTGTTGGGCGGGGAATGTCATGGGCCATTTTGGACAAAGAGACGCAGGCAAACTCACCTTCCACCTTGCTGTGAGGATAATCACCACCATGACGGGCAAAGCTAGATAAAACTTGACCTACTGCATGGGAAAAAAAGCCCTTGATTCAAATCATATTATTCGATAAATTCTAATGACATTCTGACCTCTCTCTCTCTCTATATATAATGTAATTTCATGAACACTCTGAGCTCTCTCCAAAATTTAATAAACCAAAAATCATGATTCTTTACGTTTTATTTTTAGCAAGAACATTATTTTCAAGTCAATTTTTACATATGTAACCTAAAGTAAGTTTTTTCATTGTAAACAATACTTTAAAAAATAACTATAACTATACACAAAGCAAGTTGTAAATCCATGAGATTGGACCTTGAGCTGATCTTCTCAGACCCCTTGCACAAATGAAATATAATTAGATGTAATACACTGATTTTCTAAGATATTATATATATATATAAGGCTATTATTCTGAGTAAAACCTCTCCAACGCACGAAAATAGAAGAAAAGCTTAACAAAAATAACTTTGAACTTCTCTTCCCTTTAAAAATAAGCAGTCTTAACCTAATAATTGTGTATCAAATACTTTACTTCACTTCACTTAGAAAAATAAAATGATAATAATAACAATAATTAACACCAAAAATAAATATTTTCTTCCGCGTGCAAACTCAACTGAAAAACCGCCCTTCCCCTCTCATCCTATCCGTCAAAATCGCAACGCGTGAAGGGACCAAGAGAATGAATTTCAACTATCAAGCAAACAACTCCCCTCCAAAGGAATGAATTTCAACTATCAAGCAAACAACTCCCCTCTATAAAATCCTAAAATATATATCATAAATTCACAAATAAATATATGAAAAAACCCTAATAAACCAAATCTTTGTTCCTTCACCACCTTCTGCATTACTTAGAAATCAACCCTAAACAATAACGCAAAATGGAATCTAACAATAAGAAAGGATTTGACATGGAGGCCGGTATAAGTAATCAACTGTATCCAATGATGCAAGAGCCACCGCAGATACGCTGGGCCTTTATCAGGAAAGTTTACATGATACTTGCCATGCAATTGCTTCTCACGGTTGGTGTTGCCGCCACCGTCGTCTTTGTCCCTCCAATCCCGCGCTTCATTCTCCATACCACACCTGGCCTTGCCATCTACATCGTCTCCCTCATCCTTACCCTCATACGTATGTCCTTTTTCCTTCTCATTCTTCTTTCTATATTTTGTATTTATGGGTTTTATTTATTTGGGGTTTTGTTTTTGTAGAATTATTTCTGTGATTTTTAACTAATGAAACTGTGGTTTTTTTTTGTTTTTTGGTGAATGGTTTTTGTCGCTATTAATGCAGTGCTTTGGCCATTGCATGTTTATTCCAAGCGTCACCCGTGGAACTATTTTTTTATGGCGCTGTTCACTATTTGCATTGCGTTTGCCGTCGGTCTTTCTTGTGCTCTCACAAAAGGTATAATTGCAGTACCCCCGTTATATTATAGAGTTATTTTTTGGGCAATTGCGTGGGTTTTAATTTGTTTGTGTGACTGAAAATTCGAAACCCATGATTAATCTCTCTACTTCAATTGAGCAAGTAAAATGCAAAATAAAGTTTTATTTTGCAACCGAACGGAGGTTTATGACTGCAACTGTTTCATTGAAACGTTTTATCTAGAGAACATGCTAGCTAGCTCATTGAAGAAATCAATCGAAGGACACGTGAAATACAGAAATTAGTGATGTAATTTCACTGTTTAGGAAAGGCATATTGTAAATTAGGACATCAAAAATTAATTGGTGATTTATTTAATTACCTCTGCGTGTCTTGTCGATACAGGTAGGCACATTGGAAGTTAGGAGGTTTTTTCGAGTTTTTCACGTTGTTGTTATTGATTTTCTTTGATCGTTTTCCATTTCCATTTCGGTCCCCCACCTAGGGGTCTGTGATTTTGTTTCTGTGCTCGTTGGAGTTATTATCTTAATTAGATCCTTATGCTTTGATTTTGGTCCTATATATTATTTTTATCAAGCTATTGGACGTTCAGGGTGTGTCTGCTCCTGCTTTTTGTGGCAAGAATCAGAGAATCTTAAATGTAGAATCAGGATGCTGCATGTATTACAATTGTCACAGTCGAATGTGTAGTCATGCTATATTCAGAATATTTGTGTGCTTGCTTATTAATTAAATTTTTTTTGAATGAGATTTCCCCTATTTATCAATATAAGATTAAATGTATGTTTAAGGGCATTGTATTTGTGTATGTTGGATTTTTAGAAAGTTTGTTAATTCACGGTAATATTGAAGCAATGCATAGTTGAAAGGGAGTTTGACATATCTTGCGAGCATGAGTGCATATATAACTAGTAGCAACCTCTATCCCAGGACTGACTGATTGTTTAGGTCAAGATGATTTTGCCAGCCAACAGTTATCTTTGAAAATAGTTGCTCTGTTGTGTTAATTTTTTCCCCTTGTATTCTTGGGGCAATGTGAGATATATATATATCAAATATCTAGCTAGCTATTTGCCAAAATACAAGAGACGATGACGAAGAGTAGTCTAAATGGTACAGGTTGGACACCAATGTCTCCCGACATTACTAATGGTAATTGCTTAAAAACTTTGATATCTGTTATCTGAGTGCTGACTGGACTCTCTGTCTGTCACATTGAAAGCATTAGATCATTCAGAATTGCAAATTTCTCATGGCCTTAAATTTTGACTCCAAAACGGTCAGGTATAGAGTTGCTACTGTGGAAACAATTCTGAAAATTGCGAACAATTGGTGACCCCTACTTTTTATATTTGATGGTCCATGCCAAGTGTCTGGTCAAGGTGCTTAATAACAAATATATTAAGTTAAAAAGCAAGTAATTAATGGTTTTTCTTGAGTTTGTTATTAACAGGGAGGATCGTTTTGGAGGCAGCAATTCTGACGAGTGTTGTGGTTGTTGGTCTAACTCTTTATACCTTCTGGGCTGCGAAAAGAGGCCAAGATTTCAGCTTCCTCGGACCCTTTTTATTTAGTGCTGTTTTAGTCCTTATTGTTTTTGGGTTGATTCAGGTATGCATTCAGGGCTTTTGCTTTTATAACCTTGATCTCCTCTGTCTCTTTTGTTTGCCTTTAAACGAATACATTGCAATGCAGTTCCTTTTCCCTCTTGGAAAGTGGTCACTGATGATATATGGTTGCTTGGGAGCGATCGTATTCTCTGGTTTCATCGTTTATGACACTGACAACCTGATCAAGCGTTTCAGCTATGACGAGTACATCTCAGCAGCAATCAACCTCTATCTGGATATTATCAATCTCTTCCTCGCTCTCCTCAACATCTTCAATGCAGTTGACAATTAGACTCCTCCTATACCTTTTACTGATAATATCTTTAGTTCCTCAATTGGATAGTGGTATATAAACTTATGAAATACAAATCTTGCTGTTATAGCCTACATATAACTTCAGTCTTCTAACACTAACGAGTAGCATTCCTCTATGCCTTTCTTGAACCCCCTTCACGTGTAGCCTGTCTGCAGTTTTCTGATTGTATTGTAGAATTGATCAGACTTGTTTGGTATCAACCGTGATTTGTTCTCTATTCTCCTTTTTCTCCATGCTTCCCTTTATGTGCGTGCTTGGCTTTTTGGGTGAGATTATTGTGGAAATTGAAGTCAGATGGCAGGCAAGTCAAAGAAGAGCCAGGTTTAGTTGAAGAAAGGGCGATCCTCTTCCTCTTCTTTTTCTGTGTTACAACTGGGTGGTTGAGAATCTGACAAGGAAATTGCTAGGTTAAAAGCAACTGCTACCTGACATGTAATTAGTAAAGTACTTAACCCACAGATGATAAACATTGCTTTTTTCTTTATATTAATCTCCATTTAAGTGAGCCGCAGAGAGAGAGAACTGACATTTCCGAGTATATTGAATAGTTGTTCATGCAAAATAAGGATCGAAGCATCGCACGCCATTTCATCCTGTATATGCCTCGAACAAGACATGGAACTTACAGAAAACATTGTCTCTATTGTCAATACTCCCGCTTTCTGTGTGCAGGCATTCGTTCTGTATTCCATCACGAATAGTTTATAATCTGCTGTATAGATGTAAACTGTAAGAACATTAATATTGACCAGCGGGACGAGTATGGGAAATATATGGAATCAGATTTCTTATAAATTGTATTCTCAAGGATATCAAAGTATCTAACTATATAATTGAACAACTTCATGATTCAAAAGTTGAGGAAACTTCCTACGTAAGAGAGAAGTTCTAAGATTGTTAGTGTTAGGATACTGGCATGTAAACCCGACAAGACAAAACGTAAGGGACAAGATAAAATGAGAAATGACACACAAGAATTTACATGGTTCACCCAATTTGGCTACGTCTACGGGCAAGTATAGAAGAATTTTACTAAGTAATGTGGGAATACAACTTCTCTCTTATAATAGGAGAACAACAAAAATCTCTCTATTATTAGGAGAAAACACCTCACTTACTATCTCACAAATACCTCACAATTTTGTGGGATTACTCTCTCCTCACCCTCTCTTCTTTCTCTCTTGTGGTGTGTATAATGCTTGGATGCATTGCCTATTTATAGGCAAGCATCCATGCAAAAGACAAGGGCAAGGTAGGTAGCACCAAATTTGTGCCTAACATTGTTGACAAATTGGTGCCTAACATTGTTGACTTTGTCAACAATCTTAGGGTGATTTCACATTCTCCCACTTCAAGACTTTGATGAGTTAATCAAGTCTTCACACTTGATTATCTGTGCTTCTTCTATCCTTTCTATACTTGCAATCTTCATGCTGCTTACGTTTCTGCTAGGCCGTAAGAGGATCTGCACCATATATACTTATCAATGTT